ACAATCCCAGCAGAAGAGCTGTCATCAAGTTTTGCTACAGAATTTGGCACACACGGGCATCTCCTCGCACATACCAAAGAGAGGAGTCTCCAGCATCTAAACTAGCCCTGGCTGCACCGCCTCTGATCCCAGACACCTGAAGCAGGTAACCAAGGCAGGTCCCTAGATGAGTGGCATGACTCCATTTACTTCGGCCAGGAGGCTACCACAGTGTTTGGGCTATGTTCTCTGTGTTCACGGTTGGTTTTGTGCAAGAAAGGAAGAAAAGGACGTTCAGCTCTGACCTCTGGGGTAATCGGAGAAGCTCTGGGCAGGACTTGCTTCATCCCCGAGCTCGGAACAGAAGCGCTTTTTCCACTCCCACCCATGCTGGCTCTCATGGACGCTTCACGGACATCCTCAGGAATGAAAGACACTCAGCCCCAATTTACAACCGCTTTACTTCCACAGCATCATTTCCTGAGAGTTAAGCATCCCTAAAGGAAGGTGATCCAGAACTCTAGGTGCCCTTGACACCAGTTAAAGCTATAATCTATATCAATAAAGCCATTATGAAACAAAACCAGAAGCAAATCCCTCCAGCAAACAACCAGTCAGCGAAAAATTTGAACCCAAAGTCTCCTCCATCGGTCCCTGCTGCCACAGCCCTCCTTGGCACCTCTTCCCGCAAACATGCTCGGAGAATCAAGGTGGCTCTTTGCACCAGGCTCAGCTTAGTGATAAGTCAAGGACACCTAAAAACTGTCTGTGTTAATGGGAATCTAATTGGGCATCCAGATCCACGACACAGCTTGGAAAGCTGTGGCGCTGTGGGTGATAACTCATTTGGCTTGAGGTGCTGCTGGCCAACACCCAGAGGCAGCAGGCAGCTCTGGAAGGGCTTGTGACCGAGTGCATCTTTTCCTTGATGGTGTAAATGCAGCTTCCCACCACCCTGAGAAGCGCCAAGTGCCCCAATCTCACGCAAAGACAACAGGTTCATGGGGATGGGGAGGAAACCCCAGTCCATGCAGCGACTGGAGCAAACAGCTGTGGGACTTGATGGTCCCACTTTTCCGCACCCTTTTCCCTCTCAGCTCATCCTCTTTCAACCAAACCCCGTCGCACTTCCTATCATTTAACCATCTCTGAGCTTTATTTCTGGTTACTGCCACATTTTGGCTGGCAGAGCACAGAGGGTCCTTTCCCCAGGGTGGAGAGAATGTAAAATTTGCTCAACTACCTAAATGGGAAACAAGACTGCCATTCTGGTCTACAAAAGATACCAGGAAATCACTTTATGTTTCTTCCCCCTCCAAACCTGCCCGTCTTCTGCTGACTCCTGAATGTTAATGTTATTCATGACAAGTGATTGATAAGGGGGATGCAGAATTCACACCCAGCCCAGGGCATTTTCAAATCACCTATTCATTTTTAAGAACCAGAATGAGTTTTGTATCCTGACATGATTTATCATTTGGAGGTTGAGCAGCGGCTACGCAAGGCCAGCTTCCAAGCCCTGACAGAGCATCACCAAGCTGCAGGCAGCGGTGAGTAGTTAACCCTTTGAGGGGTAAGCAGAAGATCACAGGACACCAGTATTCAAACTACATTGCTTAAGTTGGAGCCTTCTATTCCACCAGCATGTCAGGCCATCCTATAGCCTTCAGCTTCAGATGCACAGACCATGCTGGTCCAAGCTAATAGCCACAGAAATGCTGCTATATTTCTTAAAAGCAGAACTAGGTTTTTATCTTCTATGTAGCCTGGCTATGTGAAAGAGAAATACTTATATAAGACACTGTCATCGCAATGCACCTAAAAGAGATCAATGAGACATTTCCCCTCCAGTGGACCTTCCAGGCTACACAAGGCTCTGTACCTGTGGTAGAGAGAAGTCTCACCATGGGCTCAGGGGAGATCTAGCCCCGAGTCAAATTCTGGTTTCCTTCCCTCGGAAGTGTGCATTTCCTCAGTTTACATATGGGGAAAAGGGAAAGATCAGACATGTGGGATGGGCCTGACAGCTGGGAGAAGGCAGAGCTTCTCAGGTTGGGAGAAGCTATATAAAAAGGGACAAAGTGGGAATGACATGTCCCCAGCAAAGACAACCTGTATCATACGTTTGATGCCAGCCTGCCAGTGGCTGGCACGACCCACAGAATGACTTAATTCATTGCATCAGCATGGAAAAGCAAACAATCACAAAACAAGCGGGTGAAGCAGCCAAGTCCAGAGGTGACACTGTAGCAGTTTTGTCACAGCCCTTTTCTCTTGCTTCAGGAGACACTACAGCAGGATGCAGCCTCTCTCATGAGCCGGGGGAGGTATTCAGAGTACAGATGGCAGAAAGCTGCCATCCAAGGCTATGAGACCTGGGTCTAGCTGTCCTCAGTACCTTTAATATCAGCCCAGCATCTCAGGGAGAAGGGTTTTAAAGCTCAAGGGAATCACAGTTTCAAGCCTAGGAAGTTACCTAAGGGGACAGGGAAGGGGGCATGTCCATAGAGAGTCTACTTGGGGACTCATATGGAAGTGTCTTCAGATCACTGGTGACTGTTGGGACCCAGCAGGGAGCCCTGGACTTGTAGCATCTCGGCACTTTGGAGAGACAGTGCAGCCAGTTGTGAATGACACCACAAAAATCCCACAACTGTCTCTACACCGAGTGGTTTCCTCCCCTGCCTGAGCAGCTCCTTGACATGCCATTCCCACAAATGGCAATGCCTTCCTCACGTGGGAAGGCTGCAGATGAGTACCTGCCCTGTGGCAGCAGCTTCCCCAGCAGAGCTCTGCAGATGTAGGCAATTCCAAGTGCCAGTCTTGCCTTCACACTCCTGGCTTGCATTAAGTACACTGAGACCCCCTGGGATCCTGTGCAGTTGTGGAGCCCCACTTCATGAAGAGTAAAAGCTTCTGCTGACTCTTAAAAGAGCTAAACACATGGGTTGAGCTGCTCTAGGAACAGTCAGGGCTGTCTTCAGCAGCACTCTCCCATATGATTCTCTGGTGTCTAGTAAGGGTTGAGTTCACACAGCAGTTTTTCCCCTCGGTAGGGATGCACTGCCTTGCATCCTGTTTTCACAAAAATACTGGAGATGCTGAGTATGCCTGAAGCTCCTATACCTGCAGCCATATATGGTTGTTATTAGCCCAGTGGATCTAAAATACTGAAAGACTGGGATGGATGTACGTATGTTCTCACATACCCATCACCATGGCATAAGCTGTGTTTCTTAGGAAACCAGACTAGCAGTAGTGCCTGGTATCTCCGTTTAAGAGAAGAGATGAACTCTGGATGCAAGACTGGATTTTATAAGGCACTCTGCTGCTACCACCTGCATGGCTATGCAGTGCTCCTGCAACAGGGAGGAGAGCAGAGCTTCCAACAGGGGTGGAAAGGGGTAAAGTAAATGGATGAGAGGGAAAGAGAAGGAATGAGGATGTGCACTGTGGTTTTGCGTGGTTTTCTTGGCATACCCTTGGGCAGTGCAAAGCAGATGGGACAGCCACCTATAATAACATGACTCTCATGCTCTACCTCCAGGCACAGCTGTGGCCAGGGAGGTGAGTACACCCAGCCCCTGCACCCTTCCCCCTGCACTGCTGCTCTTACGTCGCTGTGGCTTCATGTCCACACACCCACATGGGATGGAGGAGCTTGCAGTATCTGCTGGCAGCCAGAGATGACATCCACATAGCTTGGGCTGTGGTTCTCTTCCTGGAGACTGGGCCCACAGAAACAATGAAAGGAAATTTTTTGCCTTGAGGCCGTCCCTGCTGGGCATCCTGATGGTGCCCTCATCGTGCAAGCAAGTGCCCAGCCAGGTGCCCATCTGGTGGCTTGTGAGCAGGTGCTGCTCGGAGGCACATGCTCAGCAGTGACCGGTCAGAAGGGCTGCTTCAAAATGCTTTTTGGAGTGAAAGTGGTACTACAACTACAATGCCATTCCTCCATCCCCAGAGGGGTTTGTTCAGTGGAAATTTTTTACTTGGGAAACTAAAAATAACATGACCATCCTGGGAACTTTCTTTTTTTGGTTTAAGGAGCCTGGTTTTGTTTCTGCTCTGTTTTGCATTGAGAGAGACAATAAAAGCCAAATTGTCCTGGCTGTACTTCTCCTTTGTCCTCTCCACCCCACTGACCAGAAGACCAAAGAAGTCTTTCAAAACCTGACAGCAGTCAGAAAAGAGGTAAAAATGACGTCAGGAAAGAGGTAAAAATTACTTCACAGGCGAAAATAATAATGGAAGCTTCCTGTGAAAAATAAGTAACCAACAGTTGCTCTCCAGTGCATGCCCTGGAGGCTCTTCAGACCAAAGAGCATCTCTGTTGAGTGTTTCTGCAGCTCCTGGTACAGCAGGGTCCTGAGCCATGAGCAGAAACCATTGCAGTCATGGTGGCATCAATCCAAGGTGCTACGTACTGAAGAAGAGCCATCAGACCTGAGGCACCCTGCCTGCCCCTCCCCAGCACCGCAGGCCAGGCCTGGGCACCTAAGTTTCACACCATCAGACCATTTCTGTGGAAACCATCTCCAGGTACCTATTTCAGCCCTCCTGGGAAGCGCGCTCCTCCCCCTCCCAGCCACCACTGCACTGGCTCAGCCACAGTGGTGCAACTTGCCCCAAGCATCCTGGTGCCCACATGCTTCCCAGGCAGGAGAGGGCAAAGCCACCAGCCAGAGGTGTCTGTCAACACATTGCCAGTGGAGAGCAAAGAGCATCATCATCCTTCTCCCTGAGCTCGTGAGCATGTTAGGGTTGCTGAACTCACCAAGGGCACTTGAGGACCTTGCTCCTAACCAGGGATGGCTGTCAAGCCTTTCTAACTCCAGCTGTCAGTGGGTCAGAGCACCTCTTCCCAGGGAAGGGAAACAAATCCACCTCTTCTCATGACAACACCACCTTCACACCATGTCTAGCCAGCATGACACAACCTGCCAGCAGCACTGGGCCAGCTACCTCCCATGTTCTCAGTTGTGGTGATACCGCAACCCTGCAGCAACAACACCACTCACCATCTGGATGACAGACACCGGCCCGATGCTGTTCACATAGATATCCACATCAATAAACGTGGGCTTGACTGTAAAGAAAATAAAATAGGTACAGATGAGCTAGGGCTAGGATCATTTGTGAAGGACTGAGGACCAGGGGAGCATCTGGGATCAGCATGGCTCCACCTCGCCAAAAATACCAACTACAGCAGCCACAAAAGCATGGAAAACACAGATCACAGCCAGGCCAGGTCACCACCCGTGGCCACAGGGAGCTTCAGGGGACACTTACTGCCAATGTCAGGCCTCAGCTTGTTGTCATAGTTCTTCAGCAGTGCGTTGAGGATCTGTGTGGCATCAGTCTCCTGTGCCTTGGGGGTGAGGACCCAGGTTTTATTGATGCTGAGGTAATCATAATCATATTCCTCTGTGCTCTCGCACCTGGAGCGGAGAGACAAAAGGAGAGAGACATTGCTGTGGCATCTATCTGGCGCTCTGTGGGAGCAGGGGCACAGCTGGGTTTCAAGAGATACTAAAGGAGGAGGATGCAGTGCTGCTAAAAGGCAGAACATAAGGAGCTCAGGGATCTCCTCTCAGCCACGCTGTTAAGATGACACAACTCACCTGGCACCTTTGCTCACTTCAGGGTCACCAGACATGCAGGGGCCTTGCTACCAGCAGTCAGGACTAGCAGGCATGGGGTACTCCACATCCTCCCCAGCTCCCTTTGGAGACATGCTGCTCATCCCCAAAGTGTGGGAGCCAGTCCCTGCCCTCCCCTGCCCTGTTCCTGCCCATCCCGCTCCTGGCCCTCCTCTGCTGCCAGCAGCTCCTGCTCCTGGAGCTGCCTGTTAACCCCAAATACCTCAGCTGTTCTGCCTGCTGCTTGCATCTGAAGCAGGCTTCCTCTGAGGAAGACGACAGTGACCAAACAGCATTTTTGGGAAGCAAGGTATTTACAATAAAAGCATTTCAGAGAAAAGAGGTCCTAAAACTACCAAGCAGGCAGCACGCACATCTGGCTTGCCAGGAACCCAGCCATCTGCCCTGCACAAATCCTGGGAAATTAAAGCCTTATGCAAACCTCGCTGCCCTCAGGCCAAGACCTGCCACAACCCATTCCCTGTACTCACCAACCCTTCCTCCCCAGCCTTTGGTGTGAGCTCCCATTTAAGGATGCTCCATTTTCCTGATCTTCCAGTTCCAAGCCAGGTGAGGAAAGCTTGCATCCTCCTTTGGGCATTATCCACTCAGCAACAGCTTCTCCCACTGCCTTTCAAATCTGCCCTCTCTAAACCTTTTGCACCTCTCCCTTTTCCTAAAGGAGTTTTCCTAAACCCTCTAATTAAATTAGGTCCACATGGTCAGCTGGGAAATTCTAACCACCTGCTGCTGCTCTGGGCAGCTCATTCACAAGATTGTCCCAGGAACGACACAGCCATATGTGAGAGAGGATGCCGAGCAATCCCACACCTGGCACACCCCCCTCAACGTCTGCCATGTCAGTGTGTCACCTGCTCCAGCGCCAGAAAGGGTCTCGCAGCAGGAGCTGCCACTGTGTTGACAACTCCCAGCTGGAGCCTCGCAGCTCTGAGGTGCAATCAGGCACCACCGATACACATCTCTCTTCAGTGCCTGGGGAGGCAGAGCCTGGCAAAGGTACTTGAAGGGGGAAAAAAAGCATTAAATTGACATGTTGCAGTCAATTTATCAGATGCTCCTCTTTTAAAACCCCAGATAAAACTTGCTTTCACAATCACTTTAAAACTCTTTGCATCTGCCCAGCTTTCAGGCACTGGAATGGGTCTCCCAACAAGGGCTGGGCTGCATGCAGCTGGCTGCCTGCCGCCACATGTTAGGTATTGGCACATCAGCTTGTTTCCTGTCTGATTGCACTGCACTTTCTAACGATGCTTAAGGAGCCTTAAGCAATGCTGTCAGGATGCACTTCCCTATCTGAGCAGCAGCAGCGTGGGCTCGCCTGGCTGTCGTGCTGTGGCGTGCCTTCGAAATGCAGCCGAACAGACAGCTCCACAGCATCCAGCAGCTGCAGGAGGCACAGGGGACCACTACTGCACCCACCCGAAAGCTGGCAAGAGCCGAAATCTGGGGCTGGCCCCACTGTTGTGGGGCACAAAGAGGGACACGTGTCTCTGCCCACAGCCCAGCCCAGGGCAGGAGAAAGAAATCCTCACTGCTTTCCCTTGCTGCCAGCATTTTGGGTGATGCAGGCTGCTTCTAGCAGAGTGGGAACAGCTACACTGAAACCTTATCTCAGTGTTCCCTTGACCCTACTTGAAGTCAGCCCAAGACAGGTCACCTGCCAGCACTGAACTCTGCATGTCCCACTGCCCTGCCAAAATCCAGTTCCTGCAAGCCATAAGGCCACAGTAGAGTCCGAAACATCCCTCCAGGGCTGAACAAAACCAGACTGGTTACTCTGACCTCAGCCTTCTGGCTTCCCCCCATTTAGTGTCGTTGATTAACACCCTAAGGCTTGGGGTAGCATGTTCAGGGAGTTACATCCTTATTACAGATGCAGTGACACTACCAAAAATACGCTTTTTGCTAATGCAGCTAATCCTGGACTACTAAACCATACTAAGCCATCTTAGCATAAGCAAGCCAGCTTTTGCTGGAGAAAATATGCTTTTGCTAGGTGTCTGTGCACACACAGACCCATACCAGCTCTTGCTGGTTAGGAGTGTGACTCTCATGCCACCCTATGCAAGCCCCTGCCTCCTCCCCAGTCTCTTCTGAGTGGCACCACTTCAAATCAAGAAGGGAAGAATCCAAGAGCTATTGCAGAGAAGAGGAATTAAGGTGACATGTGCATGTCCCCCCCACAGCTGCTAATGGAAATGTCACACTGCAAACCTGCAGCGATCCCCAACGTGCTGTGAACACTTGCTGGCCTGGCGGCTCCGTCTCCTCACACAAAGTGACTGGTTCAGTGACAGGGGACAGCCAGTTCTCATATGTCTCCATGCAGCCAGGAGGAAAGGCAGAGCCACATTTCCTCACCTCCACTTGTCGAAATGTCAAAACATCCACCTCACAGCACTTGTGCGCTCAGCCGGGGCTGGGATGCAGCTGCGAGCGTGGGCAGGGGTTGGCAGGGGGGATAATGGCAGGGCAGAGCTGGGGACATTGCGAGGAAATCCCTGGTCTGACACATGTGGTCAGGGCCATGGCAGCTCCCGCTGGTGCCCAGAGCAGGAGGCCTGCACGGCAGGGAGGTGTCCTTTCAGATGCGCTCACATATATGGATGGGGTTGGACAACCCTCCTCGGGCAACCCTTGGCATTACAGCAGGACAGTGCTCTGCCTGGCCTCCCTAATTCTGTTTTACTCAAGCAGACACCTGTTTTGCTGAGGTTTCCAAGCACACTGATGATCAAAGTAAAAGCCACCTGAAGAGCTGGTGGCTGGCTCCCTCTCCCAGTGCCCAAGCTGTCTGACAAAGTTTCATTTGGCTGGAGGAGGGGAAGAGCAACATGTGCCATGAGCCCTCAAAGCCACTTCTGCTCCTTGCCTGGTAGGACAGCCGATGGTGCTTGACCGGAATGCATACCCACTACTATTTGCAACCTGGTGTGTTAACGAAGTCTGAGACCAGTAAAATTTTGTACTGAGACCTGCACCAGCTGGGGAGGTGACACACACCCTCCCAGCCATCCCTAGTCCTGAGGCAGGAACGTTCTGGAGCAGATGCTGGTACCAGGGCTGTGATTGTCCAGCCCCTCTGTAAACGCAGCTCAAAGCCTCCCCTGCTCATGAGGAACAGACAGCGACAAAATGCAAGAACAACATTATTTCCTTTGGTTGAAAAACACTGTGGTCAATCCTAATTACCACATGCTAATGTGTCCTTCTAGCCACCCATCCCAATGCCTCCAAGGGTTGTAGGCACAGGGACATTCAGGCAAATTACTCTAAATTAGAAGCAGGCAGAGGATTTAAGGACAAGGGGCTCACTAAACTGTACCCTACCCGTTTCACATGTCTTTGTACCTCTCCTTTGTGGGCACGCTCCACGAAGCCCCAGTGGCCAAGTCTACACAGTTTCAACCATCCGTCAAGCTCAGCTTTCCGGTGGTGCGATGCTGTGCAGGGCTCCTGCCGTCAGGGCTCAGAGTTGGGTGCCTTGGTCCCAGCCAAGGCAGTGCCCTGGGAAACGCTGGTGAATTAGGCTCTGCAGTGGGGGGGACCCCCTGGGGAGTGCTGAGTCATCCGGCACAAAGCATCCAGCCCCCTCCAGTGCCAGGGGACAGGTCTTGCAGCTTGTGCTGGGAGAAGAGCTCGCACACATGCGGCACCTGAACTGGGCTCCTCACCCCAGTACCCACCATCAAGTGTGGGGCTGGCGAAATTCACCCCCTGCAAGCTGCAGCCAGGAAAAATGCAGTGAATGCACAGTAAGACCCTGATATAACTTGCTCCTTTTCTCCTTCTTCTCCCACAGGCTTCCTCTCCCGCTGCATCACACCCCCCAACATGCACAGACACTGCTCCTGGCAAAGCGGGACTCAGGGAAGAGGTAGACATGAAGGACTGGGCAGAAGGGAAGCTGGGCCAGCTACGGGGCTGGCCATAGCTAGCTTTCACATGCTCAAGGGCATGTGAATACATGACTTAACTGCTCCTCCATGTGATCTTGCAGCTTACGACTCATCCTCTCAAAATGCAGTGCTCGTGGCAGTGCACTGCAGGGATGGTGAGGCATAGGAACCAGGACCACCATGGACCCCCATCTTGGCCCTTAAATGCCCTCCGGCACCAGCATGCTGGTGAGAGGCTGGGTGTCAGGGCATGAGCCATGGGGCAGCTCTCGCTGCCTAGACCCCGGGAAGGCCGAGCCCCAGAGGACTGCAGCAGGGATGGACTTTCTGCCCGCACCTGAGGTCAGGAAGCCTTGGCAGAGCAGACCATTAGTAGCAGGATTCATGCTCCCTGTCCCTGACTGCATTTGTAATGGGATTTGATCGGCTTTAAGGCAGCTTATTCTGCCAATTAGCTTCAGCCAGTAAAATTCCTCTTCCCCCGAGCCCTGGGGGCAACAATCTGCTGACAACATGTTCTTTCCCCTAGCTAGCCATTAAACTCACCAGCAGGACTAGGAATTGTAAAAAAAAAAAAAAAAAAACGTGGAAAAGAAACTTGAAAACCCCTTGTGTGGGCGGCCTTTCATCGCTGTCTACAGAAAAGCGCTACGAACTGCTGGCCCTGGGAGAGAACAGTAATCTGCCAGCCCCATGCCTCCTCACCCAGCACGCTGGTGGCATCGGGCTGGCATCGGGCTCCCAGCCGGCACCCAGAGCTGGGACCTGGAGCCAACCTGTAGAGCAAGGCAGGAGCCCGCGCTGCGCTCCTCCTGCCAGGCTGCAAGCCCTGCAGGGGCTTTCGGGGTGCCAGAGGATGGAGTGCAGGGAAGAAAGCTCCTTCCCACCCAGCCCGACTCCGCATGGAAATGCCCCGGTGATGGATGGAGCCCCCAGGAGATACCGAGCTCCCTCTGCTCCTGCTCTGGGCACCCCCAGAAGGGGCTCAGCCCCCGGCAAGATTCAGCCAGCGAGGTGAGGGCTGGGTGGAAAACGGGATGTCCTCTTGATTCCCGGCATGCAAAGAGGGGATCCGGGGTGCAAAGGACATGCAGGCA